CGTTCCCATAAGAAAGATAATGACTAGCTTGGATGGATTTGTAACGGCTCTTGTCGCATAGTTAGAAAGCAAGGAAAATTTTGAGAGATAAGTGAATTTGTCTACTTTTTGCATGTTATTAGTCTATATTCTTGGGTGAATTATTTAATTAAATAAAAATTGTTAAATGCATTACTATAAAAAAAATCAGGCTTAACTCTTGTCGACAATCGAGAGCAAGAAAAAAGAGATTGGTAAGTAATTTATTTCTTGTTTTTCATATTTATTCTTTATTTATTATTATTATGAAAGTAACTAAAATCAGAAAATACAGATCTTTTTGAGTTATTTAAGACTAGATTAGGTAAAATAAGTAATAATATAATTAAAATGGTTTACGAAACATGCACGCAGCTCGTGGGTAATGTAATTCAATAGCAAAACATGAGCTGCACGTTTCCCAAGTGATTTACAACTTTTATGGCGGGAATAGCAATTAGACATGTTTAGAAGGGCAATAAAACATTAAAATTTAATTATAAATAGATGTATAATGTTACGAACTTAGAGCTACTTAGGATAAATGAATGTAGTATCATGTTACAATTTGATGTCATTCTAGAAAGAATAAAAGTTTAATTTTGGTTTATTTGGATTTGGTGGTAACGAGGTCAGTCAAATTGACTGATCCTATTTTCAGAATGGATAGAGAAAATAACAGATAAAGTATAAAGTTTTACTGAAAAAAAAACACTTTGAAATGCATTTAGGAGGTTTTAAGGATTACATAAAGGAAATTTTAGATTTTCGAGAAAAGTATTTTTAATTTTAACATGAAAATTACTTTGTACATGGACTATTCAAAACAAATACTCAATATATTCATGGGCAAATCTTTATTTTATTTTATTAAAAATACTTCACTGAGACATGACTTTTTGTATGTGAAAAACTTCTAATATTAACTGAAAGACTGCCAAATTTATTGAAGATATACCCAATATATTGAGAGTTATAAGTATTAAATTTATAAAAACTTTAAACGAGTACATAAGGTCACATGACTCAGTCAAACTGACCCCCCCCCACCCCCCCGTGTTTAATAGAGTTAAATAAAGTGTTGCTAAAATGAAATGGAAGAAAAGTGTATCGACCCCATTGATGGGACCCCTAGGTCTCAAGTGGCTAGGGCACAACACACTGTAAATGGGAGTTTGACCTCAACCAAAACCTGGCAGCATCTGGAATTTTACATCAGGTCCACAACAGGAAGAGTATCCTCTACCTTTTATGTCAAAAACAGGTAGTGGGAGGGAAGACAAGCTTCCCTGCCAAGAACCCATCTCCACATGCATGCATCTCCAACACAACTAACTCCAGGTCCACAGGGAACCAACAACCAGCAGATGGTAGGAAGTAAGTACAGCTCAGAAGACATTAATCCCTAGTCCGAACCATGATGGCATTGGGAATATCTCGTTCAGTCCACAGTAGGAATAGGGAACCCACCCTTATACATGCAGGAATTCACGTGTTTCATCCAGCTTCAACTAACATCAAATCCACTGTGAACCGACAAACAGGAGATAGTAAGTAGATAAAGAGGGACCTCAATTTGGGGTTGCATTTCCAGTCCAAAACCTGGTGGCACTGAAAATTTATCATCCAATCCACAGTATGAGGGATGTACCAGCCAAACACATGAATATTTATTTGGCTGGATCATCTCCAACCAACACCTTATCTAACCTAGAACAGACATCCGGAGGATGGTAGGAAGAAGGAATATCTCAGCCAGAGGGGAAAATTGCGATACATATATATATATGGCAGAGTACTACATCTAACATCTGGCAGCATCCAGAATTGTATCTCATGTCTGCAGTAGGAAGGGCATCACACCATCAGCATGCCACCACCCTACTCCCAACTGAGTGGAACTGTGCATCACTCAGGAGAATTGGTCCCAAGGTCCACCACCCCAGTGGCTTGGAACCGGTAATTAGCGAGGACTCCCATACTCCACTAAAAAAATAGGGAACAAAATGTGTTGGAAGGTCTGGTGCCCATAGCACTGGAGAAAGTGCAATGGGTGACTGTGATACCCCATTTTGAAAAGCAGAATCTGGAATTGTATATCAGGTCCGCATTTGGAAGAGACTTAATGCCACGGATCTTCAGAGATGAGCAGTAATCTGCTTTACCCATGATGTCCATGAGTGTACGGTCTGGGACAAACATATTTATGAAGCAAAAGACCATGAGATATATCTACAATTGGTACCATATGTGAATAATATCATCCTGTATTGTATTATATTGTTTCAAGTGTGATATTAATGCATAGATGATAATCAGTCAAACAACCAACACCTGGCAACACCAAGAATTGTACATCATGTCCACAGTAAGAAGTGCCTCAATGTGGTCATCTATTATGGTCACAGGATGTACAGTGCAGATCTGACACAAAATATACCTGATCAGGCACCACTCGCTACGGAGTAAGATCCAAAACATATGTAGCAAAAGGCCCCTGTAAAGAAATGAAAAACAAATGGAGTAGCCCATATATCTGCCCCAATGATGTCCTCTCAAGGAAGAAGGAAAAAGATCAGCCAGGGACATAGTAGGGTAACAGATCTGTCAGAATAAAACATTAAAAAAAGATGACAAACATCCAGAGAAAAGGAAGTATACACCGGGCAAAGTGACTAGCAAATCAACCCATATGGGGAGTGGGGAAAATCATGTGAAAGAGAAGGGAAGTATTTCCATGAAGAAACAAACTGACCCGGGAACTACCAAAGAACACAGTACATATTAGAAAGCCAAGGGCCATGGCTGGGCAAAGGAATCAGAGAGTAGTAGAATGGATTTAATAGTGGGAGAAGAAAGGAATGGAAAGAGGAGTGAAACATTAATTAATCTCCAGAGCAGCCAAGATCGAGTGTATAAAGGAAAGGATAAAAAGTAATGAACAAACCTGATCATAAAACATGCTGGAAAAGACAGTGACCAGAAGCAAACAATATGAGGAACAGAGACAGCAAATAAAATACAATAACAAATCTGCCAATAAAGGTTAAACTGGAGGATTATAAAAAGCATGAAAGACAACATGGAGGTTCAAAACCCTAGAGAGAAGCTGAGCGAGGAGTATGAACAACGGAAAGTGAATGAAATAACATAGCCAGGAAATGAGAATTTAACACAGAAGTAAAACCAGTAAATCCAAAAATGGAAGACAAGAAACTGCCTGAAAGCCTGCAAAATGAGAAACAGAAAGGTCCCCGATAGAAAACTAAGTGAAAAAAATGGTAAGAGGAAAGGAATAGGAGTAATGAAAGGATGATAACCTAGGTGTATAGATCAACAGTGTGATGTATATCAACAACTCCGGGAATCTTTCACAGAGAAAGGACAAACTGGATGAGAAAACCAAGGAAGTCGTATGCCTAAAAAGATTCGATCTTACAACAAGGGACACGATAAAAGCCATGCATGAACATAGAATGGATGGATTCAAATTCGATGACGAGGAACCCACTTTGAGACTAATAATGGTTGGAGACGGCTTGAATGGGTAATGAAGAAAAATTTTAATATAAGTTTAACATAACAGCAAATGTACAATGTTTCGACAAGGTTTTGTCATCATCAGGTACCTGCCAGCTCATGTGGCTGCTAAAGTCAAGATTTTTCAAAGTGCGTGGATCACATGACAAAAATTGTGGTTTAAATATATTTTTGAAAGGTTCCCTTTGAAACAAGGTAATTAAACTTAGATAACATAAAAATTAAAATAATAACATACCTTATAATGTTACTTTCATTGACATATATTGATACTAAAGTGGTTTAATTAAATTTTGAATGTAATGCAGTACCATACGCAGAAAGGAATTTAAAAATGGTGCCAGTAAGACTGAATTAAATGTTTTAACCCTTACCTAAATATTAATCAGCCTACTCTTTAATTTCTACTTTAAATGTGGTGGATTGCAGAGATGCAAGTTAAGAAATATATTTTATTGCAAAACCTGAATTGATTTTTAGTATGTAAATGACCAAATGAATATTAATCACTTGAATGAAATCCCAATGTACAGAAAACCAAATTTCTTTTTTCATGATAATGCAATAATACATTTATTAATAAAAAATTACCTTCCAGAAGTATTTCCTCTTCCATTACAAAACCACCTCTTGCATACATTACACTGAACCACACAGCCTGGATCATGAATCCCACAGTATCTAAACAAGTACAAATCAAGTCAAAGAGTCAATAAAAGTATATTCATTTGTTGCTACAGCATTTATAAAAACACATTAGCTACTACATGTAGCTTTATCCATTTAAATGCACATCATTTTCTTTAAAAACCAAATATGTGTACATGTAGCTAGAAGTATCTGAGTATGAGAATTCTATATGGTAGTTTAACCCGATGACTACCAGCTACTAACTTTCTTAGTAGCCAATGCAAGTCTTGCTATATTTCATTCCAACAATAAAACTAGTGGGTGAAACTGTTTGATACTTCATAAGAACTTTCATAAATGCATATAGTTTAAAAAACATACAGCCTGTTACTTTTCATAAATTTAGTTTTTTGCATTATGATCTTTAATATCTTGGAAAATTACATTAGGAAATGGTATTTATAAGAAATGATTACAATATTTATATTTGTTCCAGATTTGAACTGATTACTTTTTATGTTTTAGTACATTATTTTGCAATCCCAAAAAATTTGCATCATCCATAAATTGCAAATTTTATGTATTTTTAATTTTTTAACAATCACATACTCTCCTTGTGGTTTCAAGTAATATACAAGACCCAAAAATAATATTTGTAAATAAACCTAAACAATAAATGAGTATTTTTATTTTTAACTAGGATTTCATGTTTATATATATATATATATATTTAAACATTTTAATTTTGTTTCATAAATATATTTTTATTTCAAGTTTATGTTTCATTGCAGCCGTACTTTTGTTTATTGTGCTGAATAAACCATGCGGTCAGCAGGGTGAACTTTGTACGTTGTCCGTAACTATCTCATCCCTGTTGGGGGTCACTATCGTTCAGCCCAGTGGGGGCACATTTGAACGTTACTGTAGATATGATAATAAGAAAGCTTTTCGGTACTTGAATATCATTTCTTTGAAATTTCAAACAAGTTTATTTCAACATATGTCCTTGTATGTTGTTTCACTACACAGAGAAACCTAATTACCACTACTAGTGAGTGGTAATAGCTTACAGAACAGGTGGTTTCAATAACACCCGCCTAATCCTTGATACATCCTGTTAGAAGAGATTACCAAATGATACAGACACCATAAATTACAAAGAAATTACTTTACAGCACTTAAAATATTAGTCTGGTCACATTCTTCTCATAATAGGCAAGATTTATGTTGGAATTTGAAACTTAAGCCTTAGCACCCCAACTGTGAGAATGTTATTGCTTTCCTTGTACTATTGAGATGAATGTGTTTAGTCTGTTTCACAACCAACATATGGGCTTTATTGTGGTCACTTGTACACTGAGTTTTAACACATATATAAAAGAATCGTACAAGAATAAAAACTTAATTTACCAAGAGAACCCACATACACACCGCAAATCGCGAGTCTTCGCTAAAATCTTGAAATTGAAGCACTTCAAATTTCATCTAAGGTAAGATGGGCTTTATGTATACATAATAGTTATACATATTCAAAGATGTTATGAATAACTGAAAAAGATAACTTTATTGAAATTAGTTTCACTTTAATTTATTTTAGTTTATACACACATATATCACCATCATACATGGAGTGATATCTTTCAGTAATGTAATGTCAGAAGTATTTACATATAAACTGTTTGTATGTATTATTTCTACCTGCTCCTTAAACAGAATAATAGTTTATTGCATTTATTTTTAGTTTCCTGGTTATCAAGAATAAAGAGGTAGAATGAAGTATCTCCCAACACATACTTGGATATCACATAAAGTAAGATGTATGCTTTTTTTTATATACAGCACATAATTTGTAAATTTCCGTGGTATATTTCTTACTTTTGGTGATAAATTAAATCAGATTCATTAGTTTTACATCATATGAATTAGTTTTTACTATATTTTGTGATTTTGCTTATGTCCATACACATACAAACAAAATGTACATTTGTTAAATGTATTCTTAAAGTCAAAGCTCAATAACTCAAATGTATATGTATCATGTTTTCATTATGTCAACTGAATATTAACAGCATATTAATTTTCTTAGTACTCAGAAAGAAAAAAATCTTTCCTTAGACAAGGCTCTGAAATTGTTTTTCTCTTCCTCCTCTGAAGAAGAGTCTCTTTCTGAGATTGAAGAAACCAAGAACAAAGTTGGAGAGGAGGAAGAACCAGCTTTGCTGGACTCAAATTTGTTTGAGGAGCCTGACTTACCTTCAAGAGGAGAAGACTCTCCTCATGCCCACCAACAATCTGAGGTTGGTGATCTTCCCATGACCAGCACTACATCGACTTCCAAAATGGCCAGAGGCAAGAAGACACAAGAAAAGCCCATGGCCTGTAGTGCAGAATGTAAATGGGAAGTTCTCAAAGATGAGTAGCCCAGATTGTTGGGGGACTTCATTAGAGGAGAGCCTGTTTTCCATCAAGCAAGTAGGGGTCAGACTCCTCTTGATTTTTTTAAACTTTTTTTTTCTCTCAGCATTGTTACCAAAATTGTTGAAGAAACAAATAGATTTGCACACCAGCAAAAGGAACACCTAAACAACAATGTCAGGATGAAAAGGAAACTACTGAAATATAGTGATGTTACTCCCGAAGAAATTTTAGCTTTTACTGGTTTAACTATTTCTATGGGTATAAATCACTTACCATCTATTACAGATTACTGGTCTACCACTCCTTCACTTCAGTTTCCTTGGTTTTGTTCAATATTTTCCAGAGAAAAATTCCTAACTATTGCTCGCTTCTTTTATTTCAATGACAATACTAATAATCTACCTAAAACTGATCCTAAGCAATGATAAACTCTTCAAAGTCAGACCTGTGCTTGATCATCTACTAACAGCTTTTACAGCTCACTATAACCCTTCTAGAAAACTTTCTATTGATGAGCAAATGTTGGGAACAAAAGGCAGAATTTCTTTCAAGCAATTTCTACCTAGCAAGCCTACCAAGTGGGGAATCAAGCTTTGGGTTCTGGGAAAAGCTGTGACTGGATACTGTTTAAATTTTAGAATATACTCTGGTAAAGAGGGATCTGCACCTTCCAAGGGCTTAGCTAGCATAGCTGTTATGACTCTGATTGAAAAGTACCTTGGAAAGGGACACTTTTTTTACTGATAACTTTTATACTTCCCCAACTCTGTTTGATAAGTTGCTTTCAATTGGTACTTATGCTTGTGGCACTTGCAGGAAGAACCATGCCCACTTCCCAGACACTTTTCCAGGTAAGTTAAAAAGGGGAGAGTTACAGTTTTTTCAACTGTGGCTCAATGACTCCTGTGAAGTGGACTGATAAAAAAGATGTTTATGCTCTTTCTACAATGCATAATGCTACAGTAAAAGAAGTGATAAGAAGATAGGGTGACATGATTAGCAAGCCACAGCTAATCTTGGATTACAACAAGTTTATGGGAGGGGTTGATCTTAATGATCAATTTCTTAGCTATTATTCCATTCCACGTAAAACTGTCAAATAGTATAAGAAACTTTTCTTTAGACTTGTTGACCTGTCTATTGTTAATTCTTTTCTTCTTTTCAAACAGGTAACTAAAAATAGCAAGTACAAACAGAAGGACTTCCGTTTACAATTATTGGAATCTCTTGTGAAACCTCTAATTGAAAGTAGAGGAGGGCCTTCTTGTTTGTCAAGTATCCATTCACCAGTTCTGGTAGATGCACATGAATGGCTCTCACCTGGGAAGCATTTTCCAGCATTTGCTGAAGAAAAAATAAAAAGGTGCAGATTGTGCCTCCACACAGGTTTAATTAAGTTGACTTGTAAACAGTGTAAGGTTCATCTCTGTGTTAGGCACTTTGAAGACTCTTCAAAAAAGTTAACTTTTCTTTCTACCAAATCTAGTCAACATATTATGATTAGAAAGAAAAGTAAAACTCAATCTGATTCCTTTTATTTCACTTTCTTAAAATCTAAAATTTCTTTAGTATAGGTTTAGTGTTTATAACACTTTTTTTTGCTTAGTTTTTTTACACCATCACTCAGCATTTGCATTTAGGTATTTCCTCTTGTTTTAAATACAATTATATTTGTGATTAGTGTTCTAAAATTCATTGCACATATTAGCCATAAAAAATGAAAATATTTCAACAAAGACTTTTGCAAGAGTACACAAATTATATTTTTTGTCTATATTGAACTGTATTTATTATACATTACTGTGCTCAGTTTTATTACTTTTATCATATTTTTTGTTTTAGTTTCTGTTCAAGAATTATGTATAAAATTATCAATATTTCACTGAATAATATACAACATGGATTATTCATCTTCAGACAATTGTTTGGTAACAGTGTTTAGCTTATTTTTGCAGTTGTAGAAACACGTATAAAGTCTTCACTGTACATATCAATAGTGAACAAATGTACAGTTTGTATGTTCTTGATATATTGTTTGTTTGTTTTTGAATTTCGCGCAAAGCTACACGAGGGCTATCTGCACTAGCCGTCCCTAATGTTAATATTAAAATAGTGTAAATGTTGATTATCTAAGTATGATTTATACACTTTCATCTACTATATAAAGCAAACTGTATATCTGGTAAAAAAATACTCTGTCGTATATCTATCACTTTATATCTGTTCCTTATACATTTCCACATTTCTTGATCAATCAGCAC